GTGTTAATGGCTCAATTATCTACCGAGCAATAGCGTATTTCTTGTAAATCATTTCATTTACCTTCCCTTAATCGTAAAAATTGCTTTCAAATTGACATTATTTATTCTATTTATCTAACATTGTGTGATTGAAATTGTAACTGCAAACTTTGCAATGAAATAATGATAATTTGATGATCGTGAACCTCCTATATTTTCATATGACCAAGCAAAACAGCCGGAAAGTATTCCAGGAACTCTTCTCATGCATGGTTAGTAGGCTACTATCCCTGACCAGCTCGGTCGAACAACTGTCCTATAATCCGTTGACACTATCTCTGAGACAAACAGGCTGTTATCGATCTTTTCATTATGTGATCAAACAACAAATAGCCATGCACAGGTGAGATGCTCACGACTTGGAAAGGTTTCCCTGAATTGTGGTAACAGCCTCAACGATGCTAGTATATATTGGGAGGACAGCTTAAAACGGAGAAACGGGTCCCCAAACCAGTTAGAATGTAAAGGAAAAGATGCAAAGTACTGCGGTTCAAAAGTTTCGCCCTGAAATGTAACAGTGGTTGTTTGACATTTAGACAGATAGGCTAGATACATGGGTTTGCATGGTCGTGTGGCGAGGCTAGAATGTATTCTTAGCATTTAAAGCTACTTGTGAATAGGTGAAACAGAAATTAATTGTGTACTTGCCTGGCTGGTGTTACCCAAATTCAGGTACCGATGTTTCCCGTCCACCATAGCCTAATAGTCGTCGCTAGGTGCTTCTTCTTTTAAAGTCCTGCTGTCCACTTTCTCGTTTTTCTCGCTGTTTTCGTGCTATAGCCTTATTTCCCTCTGCTCTTATTCGCTGTCCCCCCACTCTTTCTCTCTCCGTCCAGCTCTCTTCCCAATCTGTATAGTAAAATCTTAATGATACACTTACAGAATCTTCTTTGTCCGATTTAATCTTATTCGTTTCACCTTTTCAAAGAGCTGGAGACATGACCAGGAGTCTCAGTGCAGTGTCTGAGACGGGGACGGGAAGAGCTCTGTTGTTGAATAGGCTACTTAAAAACACCCATTCCTCCTATGCGTTTGCAAGGGGGGTACTTGCATAATAGCGCTCCATTATATATCTTAATAGCTGACCATACTCGGAAAGACAATAACAAATGTGTTCATAAACGATTCACTTTATTTGAAAATACCCTTTCCTCTATTTAGTGTAGGCTATTATGGATGCATAGCGACGCACCAGGCTTGTAGCCCACTGAACAAAGTTTTGGAGACTTTGGTGACTATGTAGCCTACATGTTTTTGTATCAGTTGTCATATTCACACTACCCGAGTTTGTAAGTTTTATGTCAATGTTATCTGAGCTGAGTTCCACTCATTTCAAGTGATTTTACCTTGAAGGACTTTCCTCAATCTAAAAAAGAAGCAGCAGCTGTTGCGTTTTGGAATCTTCTTCAGGAACACAGCATCTGTAAAAATATAAATAAAAAGAAAGCAATTTTCAGGAGTTTATTTCTTTTTTTATAATTTTACAAAGTTGATAACAGTACATGCATGGTCACAGTGAGTTATTCATTACTATTTGGTTGTAATTGTATACTGTACGCTAGATGGCAGACCGATCCAGACATTTTTTAGTTGGAGGCGCATGCAGGCTTCAGTATCCACATACAAAAAGACGGAATCCCCGTGCAATTTTCAAACAGCTTCACATAATTTTGAATTATTGTCATTATTAAGACATAATATGACACCCGTTTAGTGATTGTGCAGGCCTTAAAACCACAACTGTTACAGAGTATTTTTTATTTGTCGATGTAATTTTGAGATTCGTTGGCGCCATCGCACCCTATCTGTCTATTCTAACACGACTTGTCTAGGCTACTATGCATAATGTCTTACATCGTAATTTTTCCTAATTTGACCCTGCAACTTTGGACCCCAATAATTTTGTTTTTTACAATGGAAATGTAACGTTGACGCGTATCCCACAGTATTACGCATCACCAAATGCTGTAGGCTGCATGTAGCCTATAATAAAATACATCATACATCAATAATTATATCCCCCGCATTTATAATTAAGATAGCAGTCTCAAAACAAACCATTTCAAACTTTGGGGAATTCTATGCGAGTCCTTCTATGCGAGTCCCTTTCGCCTCGCACGTTTGTTTATTTCACGTGCGCAAAGCTTTGTCCCCTCTTTTACCCATCTTTTCGGCTATTCTATCCAGGGTTTCTTCCTCTTTTTGTGACAATAGACGGCCCGTAGGCTAATCAGGTTTCAAAGTAAATAGCAGCGCGAGGCGAGCTCAATGTAAATTGTGCTTGTCAGAGCCCCCAGTCGTAGGTAGCGAGGAACGAGGACTCTAACCAATGGAGAGAAAGAGGCTTGGCTAACCTTAGCCTCCCATTTTCTCTCTCCCCCCTCAATGCAGGGCTCTGGCCAGTCAGTCGCCTTTGATTATCAGTTGCCAGCAGCCCCGCTCTTGGCTCCTTGACACGAGCACCATATAAGGCGCAGCGATCTCCATAGAAACGTGTCAGTTTCAATAGTAGTGTCAAAGTTCACTATATACAGACATTCGCGAAGATCCCGGTTTCGGAAACATTGCTCTGCTGGTCTTCCCGTTTAAACGCATTCATTTTTGGGTCTCTCCGTCTTGCATATTCTATTAGTTGTTTATTTTTTATTTTGTATCTCTTCGTGTTCGTTCCATTCCTGCTGGAGAGGTGAAACTACATGGGCACTACGGCGACGCGGTCTTTTTGCTGGACGATATGAGGTTTATTTAAGAATATAGATGTAAAATCCCGCTCTTCAGTTTTTTCCTCCCCTCCAACAGCGAAGACGGGAGTAAGGAGCAAGGAAGAAAAGAGAAGGGAATTTATTTCTTGCAGCACTTTGGATCGCGTGTCTTTGAAAGATTTTATGTTCATTTCTAGGTCCATGTGAATCGCTCCTGCCTCCTTTCTGGCTATTTTATACCAAACTGCATTTTTGTTACGTCTGGCTCGCTTTTTCTTCAAGATTGGGTACCTGAATGGCTAACTGCAATTTACCTTGGAACTGGCCTCCCGATACTTGCATATCCTGATCGGGTGCTTATTCTATCGTCTCCTGTATTTTAAATGTATTGATCGTGTTCTGCTCCCTTCTTTCTCATATGAGATTGTTTGCTCCGATTTGACTTTGCACTGTCGTATTTGAGATATTTTTTCTCCCCTCGCTTTATAAATCCCAGCGATCAGTTCGCTTTATAGCACTTTTCGGGCCCGAGATATGGCAATGGTAGTTAGCGTCTGGCGAGATCCGCAGGAAGACGTGGTCGGAGGACCTCCAAGCGGCCCCAATCCAGCAACTCAGCCGGCGAGGGAGCAACAGCAGACGGCGTCGGCAGCCCCGCACACTCCGCAGACCCCCAGTCAGCCAGGACCCCCGTCAACACCTGGGACTGCTGGAGACAAGGGGAGTCAGAATTCTGGTCCACAGCATATAGAATGTGTTGTTTGCGGAGACAAATCGAGCGGCAAGCACTATGGTCAGTTCACCTGCGAGGGATGCAAAAGTTTCTTCAAGAGGAGTGTCAGAAGGAACTTAACGTATACATGTCGTGCCAATAGGAACTGTCCCATTGACCAACACCACCGAAATCAGTGCCAATACTGTCGGCTGAAGAAATGTTTGAAAGTGGGAATGCGGCGGGAAGGTGAATATCTTTTTTTAATGCCACATATGATTACGCATACTGAGTTCCATAGACGAGTAGAGCTGCCATGTTGCATAAAGGTCACATACATAAGGCTGAGCACATTGCACATCCATGTTTTTTGCAGGAATGTGCGTGTACGCGTTTAGCCTATAGAGGGTCAAATACAATGCAGCTTCAAAAGATAGGTCGCATAACAAAGCAGCTATTTATTTGACTGACGTTTTTATGAACGTCAAAACTAAACATAACTATTTGCTATTGTTTTATAGGTTTTTAAGAGCACTAGTGTGTGTGTGTGTGTGTGTGTGTGTGTGTGTGTGTGTGTGTGTGTGTGTGTGTGTGTGTGTGTGTGTGTGTGTGTGTGTGTGAAAGAGAACATGAAGTGCACTTCCTTACATGTGTAGTGATATAGAAGTGTTTGGTTTGTCTGTGCATTAAAACGAACAGATAACATAACCACATCGCCCTCCGGTTCCATATGCTTAGGCATCTTGCGTAATGCCAGAGAAGTTGTGTGGAGCACGTTGTTTTGCCTCATAATGTATGAGAGGCCGTAACTTTTCCTCTCTTTGGAGCACAAATGATAGCAATACTCGTATTTTAAATAAACCCCCAAAATTACCATACATGTTATTTAATATATCCTCAATAAATAAATAAAAACAAAAACAACTTTTGACCAATTATACTTTTTAAAGCACATTGTTAAACGATTCCTCCTTGACTAAACTATTGCTATGGTAAGAAGGGGTTGACTCTTGTTGTGGTTGATATATTTATGCTATGCCATTCTTCTTTAGTGCAGTATAACACAAGTGTAATGGCGAAATATAGCTTTATGTTGATAAATACAGTAGTAAAATGACACATGGGCTGCATCGAACAATTAGATGTAGCATAGACCTAAATGACACTATAGGCCTGTATTACTGCAATTTAGCAAATGGAAACATCCGTTATGTTCAATATTTAAATTACTGTGTGTGTCTGTGTGTGTGTGTGTGTTTTAATCTAGATGCATGCATAGTCAATACAAATGTAAACAGTGCAACATTGAGCATGGTGATATTGAAAATAGTATTATTTATTTAAAAAACACACAATCTTACACACTATATAATTTACAGTTTGAGCTAGATTTTGATGGGAAATGGTACTCCCTTATTTTGAGAGCAGAAAACACTAGCTTGCCTTATGCTTCTCAGCATAGGTTGCACATACAACAATGTTTATCAGTTCTGGATGCACATTTCCTCTCCTTCTCTTTCTTTTTGTCAGCGGTTCAGCGAGGACGAATGCCTCCAACCCAACCGAACCCAGGTCAGTACGCGCTGACGAACGGGGACCCTCTGAACGGCCATTGCTATCTCTCCGGATACATCTCCTTATTGCTTCGGGCCGAACCTTACCCGACGTCCCGATATGGAAGCCAGTGCATGCAGCCCAACAATATCATGGGTATCGAGAACATCTGCGAGCTGGCAGCTCGCTTGCTCTTCAGCGCTGTGGAATGGGCTAGGAACATCCCTTTCTTTCCCGATCTGCAGATCACCGACCAGGTGTCCCTTCTCAGGCTGACGTGGAGCGAGCTGTTTGTGTTAAACGCGGCTCAGTGCTCCATGCCTTTGCATGTGGCCCCTCTGCTTGCCGCGGCAGGCCTCCACGCTTCTCCAATGTCTGCAGACCGAGTCGTGGCTTTCATGGATCACATTCGAATCTTCCAGGAGCAGGTTGAGAAGCTCAAGGCCCTCCACGTTGACTCGGCAGAGTACAGCTGCATCAAGGCAATAGTACTCTTCACGTCAGGTGAGTGTTTACCATGCCTCTATGTTAAGGCCTTCTCTCATAGGCGGGCGGTGAGGAGGGAGAAAATCAGACTAGAGGCCATGGCTGTCTAGTGCAGGCTACTCCATGCTGTTTTGTATAATAATTTGCTGCATATATCCACATTTATACATTTTGTGTGTTAGTCAAAGCGAAAAAGAAGTAAACAAACCGACCCACAGACAGTGTCTAATGTATTACTTTTAAAAACGTAATTTAAATGTGTATTTTACCTCGTATAAAAAGACTGAAAGACCATATAATATTTAATAAATGTTGAGAAATTATTAAGCATTATATGTTTTATAAATCTGGAAAGATATTTGTTTTGGTCTATGTCGCAGGCGTATTGTTTTATTACATTATATACGTAAAGAAAAGCATAATTTGAGTATGACACTTCATGTAGGCTATTTATGTTGTGGCATATGTTTTTCATGTTTTGCGTGCACAAAGGCGTATCATTTTAAAACAGGAAATGATCCCTAGCTGCCTGATCAAAGAAAACGATGAAATAGCCTAAAATGTCATTGTATTACTTTGCTCGCGGTAGGCTATGCTTGAGATTGATTGGGAATGTAGACTATTTTGTGTCCTGATATTTCCTCTCACAATTATTGTCTTAAATAATTAGAATCCCACATTTTGAAAAGTAGTCTACATAGGACAGCTCATTACTAGCTATCTGGCTGAGGCAAGTTTACCATTGTTTACCTATAGATATTTAAAGTTTGACTGTGGACACTTGCTCTCATTACCATTTGCAAGTACCGCGTAATAGTGGAGAGTAGGCCTAGTGTATAAAAAAGCCAAAATCGACCGTGGCTCAAAATAGCTCTCATGTGGCTCTTTAAAAGTGAACAAATTCTTATTAAATTGCCTTATTTCAATCAATACATTTCACAATTACGCAACATTTCGCTAATGATTGTGTTTTTTAATATAAGGAAATGTATATATTTTTAATAAACACACTTTCACTCTCGATGTCCTCAAAAAATACTATGCTTACTGACATCACCTACAGCCTACTTTAGCCTAAAGTAACCTAGCATGAGCATCTTACTTGATCTTTATTTTTTAGATCTATATTAAACATATCCACACTACTTTAAATACTAAAATACATTCCTTGCATATTATATTAGGCATATATTATATTACATTATGTGTAGGTAATATATAATGTTATTTATTTTGTAATTATTAAAAAAAAATATGTGGATATACAGACAGGTTGAGTGTTCAGTGAACTTGTTTTGATTGGTGGCCAAAGGGGGATTCAAAGGAAGTGTTTTATTCAATGTCATTAAACCTACCCCAGTGCTCTAGTTTGCCCTCCTCGGTGACATGGAAACCTTTATCAATGCTTTATCTGCTCACAAGGACTTTTCCTGGATTTTGGGATAGTTTATGGGCATTTATGTCCTTAGCATCCAAACTTTGAGTTCTCATTTTGTAGGCCTACATGTGACTTTGCCCTTTTTGAGTCCCACCCTAATATAAAATGATTGCCATCATTGCAAAATAACATTTAAAGACAAACATATATTTATGTGCATTTATATGATCAATCAAGCCAATCTTGTCTACCTATAGACTACCTTTGCTATTGCAATCTTATTTTTGTATCTTTTTTATTAGGCATTAACATAGCATGATGACATTGAGGGCCTTGCACCAAGTTGTTGTTACATTATGATATATAATATAACATAAAATAGCCTAGAACTGAATAGTTAGTTGTTTAAGATGACTAGCTAGCTTTAACCTTGATTTTTGTCAATTTTAGCAAGAGACAACATGTAGGGCCAATGATATACGTAGAAAACTATTGTTGCAGTCCAGGTTTACTCTGTTGAACATTTTAATTGGGTTACTTTTATTTATATTTGCAAACAGGAAACTCATAGGTGGTAGCCTAGTTTAGGTGATTGTCTTCTTATGATTCATATTATGTCCAGTTATCTATTGCGTCTTCATAATTAATTAAATGTTTCTATCTGTGTTCAGATACTTGATGAATGTGAATCTAGAAAATATGTATTTTATGTTTTTTCAGAGTTAGTTCTATGTTTGGGTACTATAGGGTGCCCTTTCACAAGCTTTCTTTTGCTTTTGACTCATGCATTCACTGCTGCTCAGTCGCCGAAATGCTTTGAGCTTAATCATTGTGTTGCGTTTCACAAGTTTATATTTGAAAGAGGTTTTGAAATGTAATTAATTTCTCCCCGATTAATTGTTTTATTTATTGATTAGAGACACTCAAAATTAATCCAAACGGATTTGCATAGGCTACGTGGGGCTGGGCCGCCTATAAGGTCATATATAGTAAATCAACCCGAGATCTCCGAGTTGCCCCCACGCAGTCCGCGAGTTCATAAGGTTATTGTGTCTGGCCATAGTGAGTTATAGCCCTGAGAAATCTAGATGAGGCTTAATGTTTAATCTATTAGATTTGGAGAATTGAGACTATCTCTCCTGTGCACTTGCTACAAGGCAATGACTTAATACAACATCGTCAGGCCTACACATAACGGTCCATAACCCAGTATGCTTGGCACAACCGTTTACAGCAGATTTTTAAGCACAGCAGTAGGCCTATGCCATGGCGATAAACAGTTTGGTTTGTACTATTCGCAAACACATCTTAAGACATGAACATTAAGTGTATGTATCTATTTAGGCCAATGCAGACTGCAATCCACAACCCCCGACTGTGTTCAAAACACATTTCACATGTGTTGTTGTGCTGGCTCCTTTTCGTATTTCTACGTGTTTTTTGCGTGACTATTGACTTCACCCCTGCTAATAAATTTGATTGCTTCCAGCGGCTTTTCCTAGGCTAAATTGAAAAGCAGGCCAAGCATGGTCTATCAAGAAAAGAGCGGGAAAATGTCATAACAGCTTATTGAGAGTAGCCTAATTAGGTCATATACAGCCATTGCAATTTCAACTTCATCAATGTCTTTTATACATTTCTATATACTTGAGTCCCCTGAGTCAGAAACCACGAGTGGGCCTATACCTTTCCCTCTGCTTCCTCAATTGGAAACGCTATAGGCTTATGCTACACACCATTTTCCATCCCCGTTAGCTGCATATTCTTTGTTTTGATTGGTTTATGAACGTGTAGAGGTATCTGCCGCTGTGTGGCGCGTTCCCCACTTGAACAGATCGCCCTTGTTTATTCTATATGACAGTCCCTCTTACTCAATGTGATGTAGCATGTTTGGGCAGTGTGTTTGTTTATTTCACTTTGTCAATAACACGTAACGCTGATGTTGAATGATAACCAGGGTGCTTTTGTGTTTCTCTTTTGCCTGCACAGACGCCTGCGGCCTGTCAGATGCGGCTCACATCGAAAGCCTGCAGGAGAAGTCTCAGTGCGCCCTGGAGGAATACGTGAGGAGCCAGTACCCTAACCAGCCCAGCCGCTTTGGCAAGCTCTTGCTGCGGCTGCCATCTCTCCGCACCGTCTCCTCATCGGTAATTGAGCAGCTGTTCTTCGTCCGCTTGGTAGGTAAAACTCCTATTGAAACCCTCATCAGGGATATGCTATTATCCGGGAGCAGCTTCAACTGGCCTTACATGTCCATCCAATGATCCGAATGAGAGTGACAAAAAAGAGAAAAAGGACCAAAATTCAGCATCCCGTACAAGAAGACTATATATAGGACCTTTTTGAACACATTGGAAGACATGACATGCTTTTTTTTTGTCTTCTGGGACTAAGATCTGAGATGGAATACGTTATGTACAGAAAATATGGAACTGGACTTACACCTGTGTAAATCCACTCTCATCTTCAAGAACAGTACTCTTCATTTTGTAAAATACTAGTCTTTATTTTCCTTTTTTGTAAAAAAAAACTAAAAAAACATACAAATAAAATGAAAAACATCATATGCGCAGTAAGAAAAAAAAAGAATCAAGATTTAGCGGGAAAATAATGTTTCCAAGCAATTATAAGAAATGTCCTGTGTCTATGTACCTGTCTGTTTTGTATTTTTTCTGGTTCTAAACCAGCTTTTCTGTGATTCTATACTAATAATTTTTGATATAACCTTTTGCTTCTTATAATGAGTGCGATATATGTTGTCGAAGCTATGTTCTCCAAGAATTAAAATTGAAGTGAGAATTTAAAACAGAAAAATAAAGAAATTTAGACAAATAAGAAACAAGTCTAATCGCTATGACAATATCACAACTGATGGTTGAACTTTTTCCAATTGATACTATGGACCTGCAACTGCAGCATACTGACCTCGTGGACATTTTGAGGAGAGGACATCTGTGGCACCTTTTCCCTGGTCATGAGTGTGTGTGGAGTCGATCATCAGTCAAAGAGGAGAGACATGAAAATCAAAAGCACTTTTAATATATCGTTTCAAATACATTTTGTTTGTTTCGTCTTGAAATTTTCATTGTTTCTTGAATTTTATTGGTTGTTGCCTTCAATTTGCTTACTCCATGATGCAGCTTTTGCAGAAGGGTCGGTTGATGAAGTTGTGTGATGGTGACTGTACTATTAAAAAAGAAATAGGCAACAATGTCTCACTCTCAAGAATGTTCATCTGAAGATCAAGATGCGCTCGCGCTTATTGTGTGGGATAGCATAATGCCAAAACAAATAAGGGGATCCTCATTTTGTCTTTATGCCACTCTTCATACACATGTGTAGGCTACACAATAGTTTTGCCATATATATGCGTTTTCCAGTTTTGTCTTGCATAATTACACTAAAAATGCAAATACATTATTGTCATTTTGCTTCTAGTATGGCCTATTCTTCAATGGAGGGGAGCGATGGAAAAATATGAAATGTAATAGAACAGGCGTTGTTTAGATTGGTTGGCTGGTGTACTCGTTGCATAGCTAGCTATATGTTACTGTTTCACGCACTCACTCACGACTGGGTATGAACACAAAGAAGCACATGTTATGTGCCGAATTAGACCGTAGTGACGCTGCTCGCTGCCTGTGAGCGCATTAATGACTGTTTCATATTTTCACAGACAGCAATGAAAGTATGCGCGCCACGGAGGCTTCTCTAACCGACCTCCTATGGCTTAATCAAGGTGATTCTCAATTCACCTCACTGCAGAAACAAAACATATGCATTCGCCCCTTCAAAAATATACCGTTGAAAGTATTGTTTCAAAATTGATACGTATCTTGGCTAGGGATTGCGCTCGCTGTAAAACAGATGTGATATGCGTGATCAATCTGGAAAATGTATTTTACAGCATGTCAGCCAGTCGATAGGAAGGAACATTGAATGCGGTGCATTGTGATGGAATATAGAGAGTGAATGAGAGCGCGATAAATAGAGTGCACAGTGCAGAGGCAAAGCATTGTGTTTGTGGCCTTGGCTTCCCTATAGCCTACATTTAGAATATAATGAATGCATCGACGAAGTCCTCAACGTGTTGGATTCAGATTTTTGACTGCACAGTACTCTGTGGAGTAGCTTCATGTACAGAGGCTGCATGTCTCTTGCGTGCCATTGTCTCCTTACCCTTTACAAATGGAGATTTGAGAGGAGACCTCTGAGCGTACAGAATAAATCCAGTATAATGTCCATATACCCTACTGCACATATTGTAGCTATTAGACTCAAATAGGGACATATGCCTACGGTGGGAGGAATAAAACAATGGGTCTTGTAGCCCTTGCCTCGCAGTCGAGCTTGGGATAGTAGTAGCATTATGAAAGCTAACGTGAGGATGGAAGCTGAACTAAGACTGCCACAGTAGCCTACAATGTCTTGATTTTATTTATATCTCCATGTTGTGGATGGGGGATTGGTGTGGGTATCATGGCAGTGGTTGATTTGAGTGTGTGTTCCCTGATTCATTCATATACCAGTAACTTATTGTTGCTTAAATGCTAGAGATGTTGTGAAATTTCATAGGCCTAAATGTATCTGTCGTTTCTTCTTACCCCTTGCAAAATATGAGTAGGCTAGGCCTAGTTCTCATGGCCTCATCTGGTCAAAATATGAGCAGGCCTTATTTGATCCCAGTCGACCTGTGGTCATGATTGAAGCGGTGTTCAGGCTTGACACTTTCTGCAAATATTTCAACACGGTATTTCTCAGACCAACGTAACCCTTTAATGTGCTATGTCCTTAATGTGTAATGACATGGCTACCGTTATTAACTAAAAACTGCACCGGCAGTTGGCCGGTTGGCCAGGTCAAAGCTGGAGGATGAGCCCTTGTAGTTTTGCTTTCAATTAATAAGCTTAAACACTCCTTTTAACATATCATAGTCAAGCAGTTTACAGATGACCCATTTTCTCTTATAAGAAAAAGAAAAAGGCTTATGGGCTCATTTGGAAGTTTAGCTTATATCCCAGCCTACTCCACATGTTTTCTTAGAAATACAAAGATTGTATAGCATACTCCCCCTAAACGTGTTCTTTTTAAAATCTGGTTGTATTTCTATTATTTATTTATTCGTGGCTAGTAGTTTATGATTACCCGCATAGGAAGAGATGTTGAATTTGAAAAATACATTGACTGAAAATAGTGTCATTGATGACGAGTCTCGATCAATTCTAGCCTATATTTACTGCTTTAGACTAAATTGTTTATCAGCATATTAAATGCAGCTTTCAACTGGTTGTATGTCTTCACATAATGTATTCTAAACCCCTCTAGAATTCTCACTTTCATCCTTTGCTGAGCGCATTCTGTTATACAATCGCTACACTACCGGCTAAAACAAATTAAAATAACATAATTCGAGCCATGTGTATGAAGCAGTAGGACTAACTACAAACCATAATGATAGGCTACAGTGGTGTGTTGCTTCAATTTCCTAACAATTATGACAATTGAAAGAGCTTGTTATAATCCCAGATATGCAATAATTACATCTAATCTCATAATAGTTTAGTAGTTGGCTTTCCAGTAGCCTAACCTCGTAGACCTAGTGTTTGGGATGATACGCGGTCTTTCATAATTTTAGATCACTCAACGTTCAAATATTTTAGGCTATATAAATGGTCTCTCTAGGTCTTGTATGCTAGTGGTATCTTAGCTGCCATTGTGAAGAAGAAAAACGTGTTACATGTTTGGGATGTTCTGTCATATTGTTACACTTGACTGATGATGGTGGGTAAGGGAAAGGGATCTGTAACACACTATAGGCCCCATCTCAGTGATTTCGGAAACTCTGGTTACCAAAGTGTTATTCCTAAACGAGTTAAATAACCATTTACCTTTGTCTGGTTTCATTCATCAAACCACAAGTGAAGGACTCCTAACATGGGGCTGGCTATTTGTTTGCTTACACAAGCAGCTGGGTGCGATTTCACGTTTGAGATATCTGTCTGAAAGCGAAACATTTATTATCCGAAGTTGTCAGCGAACCTATTTCCAAAACCTCATGCAACCAATGGTTCCACACGTCTTGAGAGGTCACAAGGCAATAACAAGCTTGTATGGGGTAACACAGTTAATTTCGCCTACGTTAGGCCTAGGCACGTTAAATCACTTTTGACAAATAGTTCGAGAAAATATTTTATAATAGAAGCTTTGGGACGCATGGACGATCCTCTAGAATGGGCTATGACAATGTTATATGCTAAACTTTTATTTTAGGTATTGGTTTATGCAAATGAATACACGACAATTGACTTCAAGTTTTTCAGCATCGCTTGGGAATTCAAACACTTCTGGTGAATGGTTGAAAACAGCACAGTGGGAAATAGCCTATCATTCTAAATATAGTGCATGTCTACTGCGTTTTGTGTATTATAAAATGGCCTAGGTTGCTTTCTAGGTGAAATTGTGACCATATGTAGTCGACCTGGAATTAACAATCTCAATGATCGCAGAATAATTATGTCGTCCGCAGACCTCACACGCAAGCTTTAAGCCATGGATCAAATCCAACACTACAGGGTATAAAATATCCCCAGTTGTGAATGTAACATAAGGTGACGCCTCCGTGTGTGTGTGTGTGTGGTGCGAGCGCGAGCGCGCGTTCGTGTATGTGCAAGTGCGCGGGCGTGAGTGTGAGAGAGTGAGAAACAGAGTGAGGCGGTTGCGAGAAAGAACAGATCGCTGTGTAAGCGATCTCTTTGTGTTGATTTAGGAAGACATTTGCTGTATATAACGTTCAAGGCTGATAATATCATTGCCTGGCCAGATAAAAAAAAGCATTGGCAAAACCATCGGGTCAGCTATCGATCCGCTTCTCTCCTCGAGCGAGCGAGAGAGAGAGAGAGAGCGAGAGAGAGAGATGGAGGAGGGAGCGAGCGAGAGAGCAAGGGGTGAGAGACACAGAGAGAGACCCTTTACTCATTAGTATTCCATACCCATGGACAGGGACAAACTGGGACCAGAAATCGGCCCGGGTATTTCTATTACACCGGCCCATATTTTCCCTCAATGCGCCAACTCCGGCCCATTTTCTTTCTTGAGGTGTCTTTTTGTTGCCAAATATTTCTAATTTTTGCATGAAAACCCCAATGTAGACAGGCCCATTGGGCTAAAGATGGACCAAACCATCTGGCATTTGCCAGAATTGCCCTATGGCCAGTCCGTCCGTCCCAATGGACTAACGCCGACAACTAACAGAGATATCCAGCTC